CTGCCCCGGCAGGTGCCTCCCAGTGGATAAACCTGGGCCTCCTAAATAAATATTCACCGCGGGGAAATTAGACGTACCCACCTCTTGTCACTCGAGGACTGTCCAGTCCTTTGAAGACCAGCCATCTAACTCCTAAATCCCCAAAAGACACACCACTGAGCAGAAAGGACAAAGAAAATCTCAGAGGACTTTTGGATGTTTTTATCGAGCTAAAGCCTGTTATCAGTGTGTATTTATGTTGTACAGTGACTGTTTTAGGTCTTCTACTAAAAAAAATGACCTTTTGACCAAGATAAAAATAATAATTATTATTCATTCACTGTGCATGAGGTGTGGAGTGATTATATAGATTGTTGTAAGCGAAAGTTGCCTTCTTTCAGAGGGATCTTGCTGTGCAGTTGCTACATTTAGCCTAAATCTGCCCAAACCAGCTGTACCAAACACAAACTGATTCAGCTGAACTAGGCTAAACAATACAGGTTTGAAAAAGTGTACACCCGTTTTTTTTTTTTTAACCAATAATTGATAAATAAAAACCTGGAGTTGGTTTACAAAAATGTCCCATTCAGATAATATATGCAGCAATGCCAAAAGTCATGGTTCATATGCACTGGGTTTGAGTTAATCCATCTATGAAAAGTCAGTCTTCACTCCATTGCTATGAAGATGCATAGAATTTGTTTGCGGTGCTTGTTACTCCTCAGAAGAGACTGTCAACAATGCTCAAAACGGTTCCTTGCGTAGGAATGAGTTCTAGTGAAACCTGTTCACAGTGAAGTCTGTGAACAAATGTCCTAAAGCCTGAACAGATCATACCAAAACCATGCAGATTTGGAGGCAATTGAAAAAAATGTTTTGGTGATTTGGGTAAACTGACCATTTCATTACAATGTTCTAGAACATTACCGCAAAAAGAACACAAAGATAGCAGCACAAGATAGACTTAAGACTGTAAAATTCAGAACAAGAGAAAAGTACTTTAAAAGCTGGCAGGGGATTTCTGTTTATGGTTTGCCTGCTCCAGAGCTGAACCCCTAGCATCTGGATGGACCCCTGAAGCTGTGCTCATAATGTGGCCAGCTGAAGCCTCGTCTCCAAGCAGCAGATTGTCTGTTTTACCACTCGCTTTCTTAAGATCTCTTTAAGTGCTTTAGTAGGATTTAACAGGCCTCTGCATCCAGCATCCTCTCAGCAGCCAAGTTCTAGTGCTTCCAGTATAATTAGCCTGGTTAAAGAAGAGGAGTCCTGCTCAACAGTAAATCCACATGGACTGTAAGGAGGCTAAGGCCATTTGTTGGATCACCCAGAGCGTGACTGCTGCTCCGGATGTCTCGCTGTGTTAAAGGTCAGGGATTAAAGAGGTCATGCAGCAGGAGGGAAGCAGAAGACTGAACTATGAGTTCTTTAACTCTGAATTTGAAATTGAGAAATGTTCCTATTATGTGTAGAAAGGGAAAATGCTTTTTAGGAAAGCCTTCCCTGTGGCTCTGTGCCTATAAACCTGGATCTGTGGTACTGCTGAGGCTAATCATTGTCAAATCTATCAGATTTTTGCTTTTTTTTTTTTTTTTAGGAAAGAAAATAACCATTTTTTAATAAGAGCAGATTGGGTTGAACTGATTTTTATCCAGTTTTCAGATCCTCATGCTTGCCAAAGCCCCCGAGAAAAGGTTGATGCCCAATTATTTAGAGAATCACTGATCAGAATGAAATAAAAGCAGAGAGGAGGAGATACAAATGAGCAAACTACTAATCTTTAAGGGTTTATACATTGCATTTTGATTTAACTTTTAAACACTGATAAATTTACAAGATTTGGGGTCCCACCGTCCAAACTAAAGATTAGTTTTATTCCAGGTTATAAGTGCGTGCACCGATTTGCAGGCGTAAATGCTTGTGTTCAGAGGTGTGGCTGCGGCTGTGCGTTATGGCAGCAGTGACAAACAGATGTAGCCTTCAGCACTGGTTTAGACCCATGTCTGGCTGCTCTGCATCTGAAAGAGGAAACGTGTGTTTGTGTGAGGTGGACCTGCTGTGCCAATCTGTTCTCATTAGTGTTTACTTGCCCCCTCTAAACGTCTAACGACATACACGTCAGCTGCTGGAGTCAGGAGTATAGAGCTGTTTGTCTGGACCCGTTCCCTCTGTCCAGGAACCTTCTCCAGTGAGATCCACTTCTTTCTAGATTCCCTGGCTTTCGATCATGAGCTTTGGCACCTTGATGGAGACACCACGAGCAGATCATCAAGGTGATTTTAATCCCCACTTGTTTTCTACAAAAAAAACAAAAAAAGAAAGCTGCAGTTTTATGCAAACA